ATCAGCTAGCGGGGATTGTTTGGCTCACTTAAAGGGAACAAAAAAAACTTGTATAATCTTAATCTTTGACTAGAGGGGAGGAGAAAAATAACGCGCCTGTTACCAGTCCATTGTTCTGGTACTTCCCACGTTCACTACTTGAACGTCTGGAACAAAATGGCCATCACACAGTCATGTTGTCATGACGATGATGTTCGTTTATTTCCAAGTGTTCTAGAAATGAAGGTAAAGCAAACGAAATGTTTAAATTTATTAAGAGAAAAGATGTTCTTGGATTGCTTCCAACTGGGATTTGGCAAAAGCCGGGCTGATTTACTAACTTTTTGAAATTAAGTATTGACAGGCCAAACACGACTCATAAGCTCGTGATAATAGTTCCGGCGAGACCATTTTTGAACAACAGGTTTTCCCTCTTTTTTTTCTTGTCGCTGATTTTGGACATTTTTGCCGACAGGGACAACAAATACAACATGGACAACAGGGACAACAAGGACAACAGAGACAACATTAGGTGACGCCCGGTCTTCGTAGTTGTTATTTTTATTTCCTGCGGCTTATGCCTGACTCGTCCCCAGTCGTCTCTCATTATTAGTATTTGGCGTGGAAGATGGTAACGGGCTCTTTAACGAAGGGGATGACGGGAAGGAAGAAGGGAGAAGGGAGAGTCTCCCCTCCTCTCGCCTTCCCATCTTCCCCGCGCGCACAACCCAAGCGCTTCCCTAGTACGATGATGATTAATGAGTAGAGACAACTTGGAGACGACTGGGGACGAGACAAGGTTTATGCTGCTGTTGTTGTTTCTGGTAGCCAGAAAGGAAACAATTTACGGGTAATGGCTCTTGCTTTGATTGGTCCTTTTGACATAACCGCCGTTAGTCAATAGGGGGCTTAAGCAGCAACGACGGCGGCGGCCACGAAGACGTCACTTAAATGTGAATCAGTTCGCACGACTTCAAACTTTATCGCGCTTATTCCAACTTCTCCAATTTGTCAAATGTTGGCAAATTTTTCTGGAGTTGAATTCTAAAAGACTATATCAAAGTTCAGGAAAAGTAAAAAGAAGTCGTTGTCTTGTGTTCATGTCTTCGAGAAACGTGAATTTAGGCACTTTGTCGTGGTAGTCATGCAACGGCGGCAAAGAAATGTACAAAAAGCGTGATGCACGTGCAAAGTTGTTGTTTTGCTAATATAAACCTATTGCTTCTTTTGCCGTTCTCGTTGCTGTCGCCGTCGTCGTTGCTTAAGCTCCCTATGTGGGCGTAGGAGGGAGGGACAGCCAGAACAATCGACTGCATGCAGGCGTTTTTTTCTTTTCCCCTTAGTCTCGCCTTCGTGTAAAATGACGCGTTCTCCTCGCTTGGCTCATAAGGTGATTGTTATGCTTCAGAATAGGCCATTTTACAGTTGTGTGCTCAGTGCCCTGGCCTTTGACAGGAGCCGATTACTCCTGCCTTTGAATAGATGCGAGGCTGCGGTGACCTTGTTTTGCTCTCCAACCTCATTCCCAAGGTTCTCTCCCTTGCTTTGGGAAAAAGCCTGGAAACGAGGTTGGTATCTGAGGTGGATCGCACACTTTTAAAAGTCAACACCTCCACTTTCATTTTTTTTTATTATTAAAAGGATTACAAATTGAAACAAATCCAGAAAGTAAGATAAAGAGTCTTCATGCATTGCTACCCTTGCGCATTCTGGCACTGGCCAAGGGTCTGTCCGTTATCGGCTGTCACATACACGCTATTAAGAAAGAAGATAGTTACAAATATGAGTGAAAACTATAAGATACAAATTTATGACCTTTTCTTACTTTTTAACTTTTTTTACCTAACAGGGTATATAGTTTTCATGGTCCTGAGTCACTAGAAAATCAAATTTCATGATGAAACTTTACAACATTACTGAAATTGTACGCAAAAGGAAATGAATCAAGATCATGAAATTATAGTACAAAAGGGTGGCAAAATGAGCGGTTTTTGTCTGTAACATGATCAGGGATTTAAAAGGACTTCTACGGCACACCTCTACCCAAACATTTCTTGTGTGCGCCCCCCCCCCCTCCCCCCGGAAATTATGGTCTAAATGGCTAATCTTCTACGCTAGCTGAATTCTCCTCGACTTGTAGCACTGCAAAAGTCAAACATCATTAGTATGGAATTTCTGTGCACATTTCTCAGACGTGATTCGTGGCAAAAACCAGTGGCTGTTAATTTCCTCAGGCTAAGCTAACCTGGGACCGCTGCTTTTTTTGTGGGCAAGAACGGCGAATATCAGGACGAGCTCAAAGGAAGAGGCAAACCGAGCGGGGATTAAGGAGAAAAAGGGTACATTGACCTTTCGTTCTCACAGTCGTTCGCAGGCTCGCTTCGCTTCTTGTTTTTTGTTCTTTCCGCGTAGTTCCCCGTTTTTCCCCACCAAGGGGAGTGGTCTTCTCACCGTTTTAAGGCTTACTCTTTGAAAAATTCAATTTTACCAAAATGTTTAATGTGCTCAAGTCGCTACCAACCCATCGGACGTAGTGATCTAAGAAAATTATTTTGAAATTCCTTACCAGGTTTGAGGGAAATAACAATACTCAGTCTGGCCATATAATGTAGTGCATTCCACGGAAGGTACCTCGGGGTCTTCCTTCTAAAAGAGAACAATTAACGGGCCTTTTTTAGTTCAAAGTTAAAGTCTACAAAACAATGAAAGGTTTGAACCCAGGAGTCATTTCATAAGGAGGTTGAGTGTGATCGTCCGGGTGGACATAGTATTGAATAGGACTGTTGTTGACCAGGTTTGCTGACGTTTGGCCAACCTGTGCGGTAGTCATCTTCAGAGTCGAAGTGAGATGTGTCACGTCATTTAATGGTATTAAACTCTGGTTACTGACCTGATTGGTCAATTAAGTTGCGATGTTATTGATCGTCTGTCAGTTAAGCCGTGATGTCATTGGTGCGTTTCGATCCGTCTATTGTCACTGTTAAACAGTCGTTTATTATTAGTCAAATTGTCGGTTGTCCAGTCACTGTCTAGTCATTCTCTCGTAGTTAGAATTGGCTTGAATCCGTCAGTAAGTCGTTTGTACTGTGCTGGTAACTGCCAACTACGGTTCAGTGGCGTTTGTTCTAAGTTACTTAGTAAACCAGCTTTCTAAAGTGAGTCGTTGATAGTATTCTGTAGAATACGTAATACATGTCGTAAATGTCCCATGCAGGCGATTTCATTTATCGTCAGTAAATAGTGTTCTGTAACAATGTGATTGTTGACGTCACATTCCTTGTCGCTCCTTTGTGCCTTCGGCAGGACAAGTCTCTGGCACCCGAGGTATTTAGGTATCTGTCATCAAAATTAACGTCACTTTCGCTTTGGGTCGAAAGTGTTCTCAGCATCATAAGCTTAAGCCGAACAGTGATTTTCCAAACCAAACCTGATCTTCTCGATCTGCATATGCATCTTCATCCTCGTAGAGTTCATCTGCATATCCTGGCTCTTCATTTTTATCTGCGTAAGCGTTTTCATCCTCTTCCTGAAGAAGTCCACCTGCATATCCGGGATCTTCATCTTCATCTGCATAGTCATATTCATAGAGTCGATTAAATTTTTCGCCCAGAGGGGTCCACCTGGCCATTGCCATGGAAACCAGCATCAAGAAAGCAATAGCTGTAAACGGATTCATCTGGAACATAAATATTTTAAACAAAGTAACTATTTATTCAGTATATGCATGTTGTTCTAACTTTTGAGTCTGTGCACGAAATGCCATGATGTGGCCATTTAAATATAACCTCTTTGGCAAAACTTTCACACTGTATGATTTGTTTTCAATATTAAGCATTCTTTCCTTTATTCCCGTAACTGAATGAAGTCGCGGAATTAAGTAGAAATGGATCTTTTGTCTTAACCCTCGCAAACGGACGCAAGAATGTGGACCAACAACTCCTAGTGCAACATTGTTGGGAGTTGTTGCGTCCGTTTGCTCGTGTAGCTAAAACTTTCACCGGTTTCAATCTTTGCGTAACAAAGTCCCAACAACACGCAACAACATACAACAGGGTGTGCAAATATACACAACATGTAACATCCAACAATGTTGCGTTCGTTTGCTCGGGGCGGGATGTCCACAGACAATATCGAAATAAGAAGTTTGTCGCAGCCGAGCGAAGATTTAACTTAAAAGGGTTTGAATTTTAAAAACAACGCCTCAGTTTTGTTGTTTTAAACTATTATTTTGGCATTGAAACGGTTTCTTGTCGTTTGTTGGTCAAGACGCCGGGATGGCAAGGGTAAACATGGATTGATTAGCACAGAATTGACCTAAAAAAGCAATATCTTCGCTGGCCCCTTTTAAAATATGCGGAGGGGATGCGAATTAGCGATACTTAAATAGCAATGTTCAGTGCTTTCAGTACAAGGGCATTAATCGCACCGAATTAATTATCAATTAGCACAGAATCTTTTGTGAAGGGGATTTTAAGGTACATCAGGTTTAACAATTATAATTACATCGAAATTGGATTGGTTGTCTTCTTCACAAAAACTTTCAGACAAATCGAAAGGTAATTTCACATTCTGTCAGTATTTCATTGAATTTTAAAGAATTATTGGAACGTCCAAAGAGAGAGTCGTCAGTAGAAAGTGTGTATCATGACCGAGTAAATAGAAGTTGCTAAAACTTCATGCACTTCCAGTTAATATCGAAGATTGATAAACACGAATACAATTAACATTGTGTATAATCTTTATGGAAGAATAAAACGGCCAACTTCAAAAGGCTTTAAGCTTTAAAATCATTACTAGAACGCTCTCACTTAGCAATATATGTTAATTTTATTGTTTGAATTTTAGGTCTTAAGAAGTAAATGGCCGTTATACATGGACGGTTTCAGCACAGCAGAATTCCTTTACTAATATGGTTCTTAATGGTAACTTAAAACACCACGCGTAGAAAAAAATAATTCAAGTTAGAAATTATATGATATCTTTCTCAGTTTTTTTTTTTTTATCTCCGAACATACTTTTAAAAGATATCATCGTGCCCTTGTGTCATTCAGGCTCGGCTTGATGAAAAGGTGTGTTGTCACAATACAAAACTCCTGTCAATGAAAAACATACATATACCACTGACCAACTGATCAGCATCTTACAACATCAAAATGACTGACCAAAACACCAACACTAAATGTGACCACCAGTAAAACAACGGAAACTGCAGAGAGAACTGTAAAATCAAGAAAACTACTACAGTCGACTCTCTCTTAACGGACACCTCTATAAGACGGACACCTCTGTAAAACGGACACTTAGAGTTGGTCCCTGCCTTTCTTTACTCCCTTTATCTGACTCTCTATAAGATGGACACCTCTCTAAGACGGATACTTAGTGCCGGTTCCAAAGGTGTCCGTCTTAGAGAGAGTTGACTGTACCACTAGTGTTGTTGTTTCCGACTATATTTTGGCATTGAAACGGTTTTTTGTCGTTTGTTGGTCAAGATGGATGGCAAGGGTGAACATGAGAGGATGCGAAAAGTGTTTTCTTTATGTTAAATCGATCATCGAAATGCTAAAATAGCAATGCTCAGTGCTCTCAGGACAAGTGCACTTTGTTGCATTAATCGCGATCTCAACTTGCGTTTCTTTCGACCACGCACAAGGAAAAAGACCGGCGCAAAAGGAATCCAAATCAAGCATGTTCGTATTATTTTGCTGGTGTAGGCCGATCGTCTTGAGGCAACCGTAGAAATATGCAATGTGGTACAAAGCAGTTTAACTGAAGTCTTTGTGTGGCAACTAATAAATTCCAATGGAGCCTCTTTAGCAGTTCTGTGCCTTAAAAAGTCTGAAAGCCAACAAGCTCTCCGTGTCTTGCTAGGAATCACCATCGATTCCTATAGCGATAGATTTAATGTGTTTTAGTACTAATTAAAAGTAATTTACTTCGACGGTCGAAGTGTGCCTGGGTATTTAGAAAGCTTACTGACGCGTTTGCCTTAGTAAGGAAAGTATTCATGACCAACAGATCTTATGAATAGTAAAATAAATATGTTTGGCCGATTTGAACTGGTTAAAACACTTCTCAAGAAGTTAAGAAGCATTTACTCACCTTCATTCAAAAGTCGTTCTGTCCGTAGTTTCTTACGCTACAGAATGAGTACTAAATCAAATTGTCTGAGGGTGTTAAGATACTTCCCTTAATCTTTAAAAGGTAGCCGGGGGAGGAGCTTACTGACTTGCCGGTAACTACTTTATCCTCTCTAGTTGTAAAAAGCCTGCTTTTTGTTCAAACATTAAGCCCTTTAAGTCGCAGATCCTTTGTGAAGAGGAATTATAAGTTTCATTGGCAGTTTCAATGCAATCGAGATCGGATTTCTTTTCTTCTTGGCAAACACAGAGAGCACTTTACTTACAGAACTTAAGGAACGTACAAAGGGAATCACAAAGTGCTGGATTGTGAAAGTCAATTGAGATATGCCCATCGTGACTGAACTGATGAATCTACAAATTGCTTGCTACTGTGCACTTTCGGCCATATCGCGGATTAACACGAATACAATTAACATTGTGTATGGAAGAACAAAACAGCCAACTTCAATAAGCTTTTTGCCTTGAAATCAGTACTACAACGCTGTTACATATAAGTGTATGGTAATTTTATGGTTTAAATTTTAGCAGAAACTCATAAGGGGCTTCTGATTTTAGTCATTCAAAGTAATGGCCGTGATACATAGATGGTTTCACAAAAGCAGAATTCCTTTACTTATAATGGGCTTGTTGTTAATAAGTAAGTAGAAAAAAAAGATGTACTCAAGGCTCACCTAGACTTTTACTCTGGGTCTACTAGACAGGCTTTTACGGGCTTCATTTCCTGATGAATCGCACATTCAATCAGGCGGATTATTGACCTTCATTCTTAATATTGCTGAAAAACATCAAAGAAGATGCCGTTGCTATCTATCAAAGTTCTTGATATCTTTAGTAACTTTCCTGCAAACTTAACTGAACTTTGACTTTTCTTTGCCCATCCTTGTCTGGAGTATTGAACCGTTGTTTGAGGCACTAATTATCAAAATTCCTTGAATAGACTTGTTGCAAAAACGTATTTTAAAAAAGAGAAATCTCTAAATCCCATTTGATTACGGACAGTTTGCTTCGTCCCAGAGGAAACTATCGCTTACATTTTCTCTAAATTCAACCCACTTAATACGGACACCTCGTTAATACGGGCACTTTGTATGGCTCCCTCAGTGTCCGTATTAACGGGGTTTCGGCTGTAGTTCCTTTTCATTACTAAGGGACTGTGCAATAATTATCAGGAGGGGGGGGGGGGGCTGAAAAACTAGAGTTATCTAGCAAAAAATTAGACAGTACCCCCCTCCAAAACAAAGAAAATTAGCTCTAACCCCCCTCTGTTATGTTGAAAATAACGTCGCACCCCCCCTCCCCCTCCCACCACCCAGCCAGCCTCTTCTCTGAAAACACTGGTAAACTCAAAACTGGACTGAGCTGCCATCACAGCTTCAATAATGACAAACGTTATAATGTAACATCTAGTATCGAGAAGGATGTTGATCGCTTGATTGAGGATTTAGACAAAGCATTTGCTAAGTACCGGGGTGCTTACCACATTGGCTCAAAATCTAAAACTTCTGAAGCAAGAAAGAGAAAGAAGCAGAGAAAAAAAATCAAAGAACAGGAGATTGAACGCTTCAAATAACATACGAAAAAGAGCTTGCATTATATTTAGATCCTTGGGAGGAGAGCCTGTTGAACTTTGTTATGAGCCAGATATGTATGGAATTCAGCAAATCGATTCAGTCGATGAAGAAACATTACTTTTATTCACATCAAAAACCGACAAAGCTTGTCAACGAGATCTGTTTGATTCCCATTTTTCTAATGGGGAAAGCTGAAAAACAAGTTCATGATTTTTGCTTTACATAGGATCAGCTCAATTAATTAGGAGACAGGTTAAAATTGATCAGTTGTGAATTTGCTTTTCATTTTGATGGAATATTTTTAATAATCGTTCAACAGCTGTTCGTATTGATATTTGTTACAGTCTATCATGGTGCTTGTATTGAGAATCTTTTATTGCGTTTAATTTTATTTACATTTCGAATAAAACTTAAGGGCCCCCCTCCGTCAAATGAGTGATTTTACTTTGAGCACCCCCTATCTTGGCAGCAATTTTATGTAATGCCCCCCCTCTAGTTTTTCAGCCCCCCCCCTCCTGATAATTATTACACAGTCCCTAATAGTGGCGGGGAGGAGCCTTTTGTCCAATCATAAAGTCCTTTTGCACGTAATCTTCTGTAAAGGGGATTTTAAGGTACATCAGTTTTAACAATTACAATTTCATCGAGATGGAACGACGATTTTTAAGAACTTCTCCTACCAATAAAAAGTTCGCGACTCAAATCAGAAAGATTAGTGAACTTTCACGTATGTAATTGTTACTTACGTAGTACCAACTAGTTTGAGATAGGTTTTTTATTTTCCCATTTTCCTTATTCTCGGTCCTGTTATCATGTTTATAGTTTTAACAATTATCCCACAGCTTTTAGTCATTTAAATAATTTTATATTGATTTAAATAATTTTGTATTTTTCTTTTAAAACTGGGCGCATTAGGTAGAGCTACTTATAGCTAGGAGCCTAACAAACTGCAGCTGTTCGAGTATAAATAAAGTATGAGTATGAGTATGAGACGACGAGCATCTCCGCCATTTTCATATGGGAACACCCCTTCTGTTTGAACATATGCTGTCCGTGAATTGTGACAATTTCATAAAAGGGTCAAGGCCATTGCGAGTACTGCGGATTGTGACATTAATAATCCAACTGCAAATAAAAAGACAACAATGTGTTTAATTACTGACAGTTAAATCTCAAGTCAATCTGTTGAAACCAAATTCTCCTGCAAATCATAATCAGGACAAGGTTCATGTTTAGAAATAGAGTTTTAGTGTCTGTACCCAGGGGCGTTTTGAGATTTTCGCGGTAGTCGCAGAACAAGGAAATATGAGGAGTTTTGGCGTGCAGCATTAAGGATATTAAGAAAGCTTCAGATCCCTTGCGGCGTGACTACAGCAGAAAATCCCGAGAAATACTGGATGTGACGTCATTCCGTCCAACAAGAATTTGGCGTGAAGCCGTTATATGTGTTTAACAAACAGTGGTTCGTTCATTAATGCATTGTATTGCTTCAATTCATAACTGACTTATGTTTTGGGTAATAACAGGTACGTCTTAGCAGTAGTTTAATTATACAATTCATTTCCCTTTCACTAACGAGGCAGATTAAGAATAGAAGTTAGCATGTAAATACATGCAAAATACTAACAAAAAATTTAAAAGCAATTTTGCATCTTGTACATACGGTAAATACTCGCTATTTTAAAACTGATTCGACTTTTCATTCCTTATCGTGTGGACTGCCAAGAACAAACTGAAACAATCTCAAGCGACTAAAGAAGTTGGAAAAGAAAAACACTAGTTAAAAAAGTATGGTTTGGAACAATTCTAGCCAGGTTAATGAAACTTCACTTCAACAAAACAGGGATGATGGAAATCTTGAGACTGCTTTATATAGAAGTATATTTGGCAGCATCGCAGTTCTTGCTTTCGTGGCCAATCTTCTGCTGTGCTTCGTTATTTGCAGACGTCGAGATCTCCTTTCCAAGCCCTACAACATTTTGATTCTGAATCTCACAGCTACAGATTTATTGACAGGTACGAGTAAATCATTATTATAGTAATAAATCCTACCCTCCAGTGGTTCAGTGGTTAGAGCGTCCGAACAAGTACTAGGAGGGTCGTGAGTTCGATTCTCATCTGGGGCTCGGAATTTTTTTCTGAGCTTTCTGGTCTTAGCATTCTTCTTCCTCCAAATTGAATACTTTTAACTACTTGCTTATTTTTACTTAAGCACATAGCAAAGCACTTCACTGCTTTGGCTCAGTTCTGGGTAAAATTGATTTTATAACGCTCAGCTTATTATGTGCCTTATAGTAGATAAGGTAAACTTAATTGGAGCAATTTTTTCCCAGTGAAGGAGGAAAATTAAAGTTACTGCTTAACAGTAGTCATTTCGAAATTCGTATTTTAAATATTTCTAACAGACAACAAGATATGTGATAACTTAAAAAATGTTAGCGTTTACTGAGCTCCAATACGGTACGATAAGTGGGCTATTTTTTGGCCACAAAACGGTGAATGATTTGGCAAGTAATTTGAACATCGACTAGTTTTTCAAAAAATAAAGTCATGAGAATGAACATTCTGTGAACATACGCAGCTGATGTGAAAAAAGATTGTCTCCGGGCTGCGTGAAATGATCGAGTCTGGACACCTGTCCCTTCGTTGACAGTTTTCATCTCAGAGGGCAGGAAAAGGCTTGGTTCCTCCTGGCTCGGCTTCTTGAAAATTTGCCCAAGAATATTAAATGTCAAAAATTTGACTGATGAGTAACTAAGGTCCTCAAAAAATTTTATTCTTATTACCCCTCGTCATGACTCCTATGCATACATTGTGTTGAGTGCAGTAATTATACAACTTTTTGAAATAGTAGTAGGTAACAAAGGCGTGAATAGGAAGCCTATCGAAAGATGTGTTATGGTCATTGTGAAATAGAGATTATTGTCCTTTTCAGTATCGCCAAGGCTTATTTATGATGATAACAAAAAAACTGAAATTCAGCAAAATATCTACATGGCCTACAATACCTGTCTTGCTACATCTTCAAATCGTTATCATTTCCGTTGTTCTTGGCTGTTTTTTCAATGCCGTACAAAACGCTCTGTTGCCTAAAGGTATGTTCTCATTGCTACATCTTCAAATCGTTATTCTTGGCTGTTTTTTCAATGTCGTACAAAACGCTCGATTACCCAAAGGCATGTTCTTATTGAGGTTAGAGATGAAGGATAGGAGTAGGTTTGGTGGAAAATCATGCGAATAACCTCTTCGTTATATTATAAAAATAAATCGTTGTTTATAATTAAAAGAAAACAATATTTCCTAGTTTATGAAAATATCATGTGTACTGTTATTTATAAATTTTTTAGAGGGTCCCTAGTAGATTTTCCGGGATCCGGGATTTCCCTTATTTGAGGCTCGGGATTCGATCGGGATTTTAAACCAAAATCGGCGCGAGATTCGGGATTGAGGGAATGCGCGGGAGGTGGGATGCCAAAAATAACCCTCGGAATTATGGGACTGCACGAATTACGGATTGAAGAAACCTGTTCATTTTTTTACAGTTTTTCTTTGGCGTTTCAGGAAAGATTTAACTTTGTCAGAAGAGTTGTTTTATCCGAGAGCTCATGCATTGCTTTGAATTGGTAGTGAAAAACCCTACTGAGTACACAGCGGGTACAATAAGATCTGTGAATGTTTGATTCATGTATTTTAACTTGGGAAAAGATTGAGATGAAGTGGATCTGGATGTAACATTGATTTTCGAAACATCCTGTGGTGTTGTCTAGACCGCGCCTCTGGGCTCAACGATAAAGTTGTAACTTTTAAAACTGTGGGTGACACTCCCAAAGAGTAATTACTTTACAAAAGAAATTTAATGTGGTACTCTTCATGGCTGCTTTAATAGTCCAGCCATATGGTGTAAAAAAATAGCTGAATTGTGCACTTTGGGGTAAAAGCATCAAACTCGGCACAGTGATAGTACTAGTTGCACTAATTATTTTTAGCTATGGACCCCACTCAAATATGCACGGGGGGAGGCACATTGTGCCCTTGGGGGAAGGGGTCATGGCCTTTTTGTTTTGGTCCGGAAAAGACTCAAAAACGAAAAGAAAGCGGCCTAAAAAACTTTTGCATTCCCATTTTCTTCAAACTAGTGCAAGGTAACCCTATAAAATACCTGTTACTTACTTTTCTGAGAGATTTTCTAAAATTATTTTAAAAGAGTGTGTAAGTGATTCTTGTCACAAGGGAAAGCCACGTAGAAGCAAGTTGAGTTCTGAAGGGCGGAATTTATTTGTGTTAAAGCATTACAATATTATAAATGCACCCCCTGACACATCAAACAACTTCATTAATATTTTTGAGACACCTCCTGATAGAACAAACAAGACTGCACACGGAAAAAACAAAAGGTCAGGCTACTCAAGAAAATTCTGCATGGCGGACAGTAATGGCTGGTCTTTTTGCTCTCTCGTTTGTGAGAGACAGTATGCCGTTTTTCACCCTTAGAAAGATAAGATGTTTCATTTTTACACTTTGATTGAAGTGAATTGCACTTTTTGGGAATTGTTATATAACAGTTTTATAACTGTTATATACCAGTGTGATATAACAGTTATATAACAGTCATATAACTGTTATATAACAGTGTCATATAACTGTTATAACAGTCCCATGACTGTTATATAACAGTTATATAATACTGTTATATAACAGTTATATAACAGTAATATATAGCTTTCATATAACTGTTATATAACAGTTATATGAAAGCTATATATAACTGTTATATAACAGTTATATAACATATATAACTGTCATATAACTTATAATAACAGTTATATATAAGTGTCATATAACTGTTATATAACAGTTATATATATCTGTCATATAACTGTTATAACAGTCCCATCACTGTTATATAACAGTTATATGACACTGTTATATAACAGGCATAAAACTGTTATATAACAGTTATATAACTGTTATATAAAACTAACACTGTTATAACAGTTATATTTCAGTTATGTAACTGTTATATAACAGTTATATATAGCTGTCATGTAACTATTATATAACGGTAACATCACTGTTTTATAACTGTTATATAACAGTTATATATAGCTTTCATATAACTGTTATATAACAGTGTCATATAACTGTTACATAACAGTGATGGGACTGTTATAACAGTTATATAAAAAAAAACATGAGACACTTACAGAGACCTTCAACGACATGCAACGGGAAGTTCTTAACCACTTTTATTGCGGGCGACAAGAGTAGCCCGCAGTTTTCATCTTCAATTTATTATTATGCATGCATCGCAGGTATGTAGCTGGCTATATAACTGTTATATAACTATGTTATAAAACTATGTTATATAAAAGTGATGTAACTATTATAACATTTATATAACTGTTATATAACAGTTATATAAAACTGTTATATAACAGTCATATAACTGTTATATACCAGTGTCATATAACAGTTATATAACAGTCATATAACTGTAATAACAGTCCCATGACTGTTATATAACAGTAATATGAAACTGTTATACAACAGTTATATAATACTGTTATATAACAGTTATATAACAGTAATATCCCTTGTAAAAATTTATTAGCGATCGCGCCGCGATCGCGGCGCGATCGCTGTCAAAATCGCGTAGCGTTTTTGGCCGGATTTCGCGGCGCGATCGCTGCGTTATTCGCGGCGCGATCGCTGTCATCAATCGCTTAGCGTTTTTGGCCGGATTTCGCGGCGCGATAAGAGCGATCGCTCAGCGATCGCTGTCATCAATCGCTTAGCGTTTTTGGCCGGATTTCGCGGCGCGATGAGAGCGATCGCTGAGCGATCGCGGTCATCAATCGCTTAGCGTTTTTGGCCGGATTTCGCCGCGCGATGAGAGCGATCGCGTCGCGATCGCTGTCATTAATCGCTTAGCGTTTTTGGCCGAGGTTCGCGGCGAAATGGCAGTGATCGCTCAGCGATCGCTGTTGTCGATCGCTTAGCGTTTTTGGCCGAAGTTCGCGGCGCGATTGGAGCGATCGCGCCGTGATCGCTGTCATCGATCGCAGATGGTTTTCGGCCGGATTTCTCGTCGCGATCACGGTCCGGACGAAAAAGACATAAATGAGTATTTCTTATCTCACAAGAAGAGCAGTGAGCTGAAATTTGTCCTGAAAGTTGCAGTAACATTTTACTACCTTGTGACAAACGGAGAGCTTCTGAGCTTTGCCCAAAATCGTGCATCATAGAAAATGACCGCTCCGTTTGAAGGCCCCTGGTCCGGCCAGTGGTTCCGGCCACTTTGGCCACTTTAATTGGAAGCCGACATCAAAAGTGCGTAAAAAGAAACCTTCCAAGCACCATCTGATCTAAATTCCTGTATATTTTTTATAGGCTGCTCACTTAAAATTCGAAACCAAACTGAGATTTCTGTGTAAAGAGCTAATGTTTGGTCTCTCGAAGAAACTAAACCGTGAAAAGGTCTATTGCCACCATTTTAAATGAATTCAATCAAAGTTTAGAGGCAAAAAAAAATATTTGTCGTCGCTTGTTTACGTCCTCAAGAAAAACTTCCCATCAGAAAATGTTGTCTAAGTCATGCCGCGACCGAAAAGCGTGCGTCATAATGCACGTGCAGGAGGTGCAGAGTAATGTTTTCCTTGTTAGGCCCATTGCTTGCCAAGTTTTTTGACTTTGCTAAATGCTACAGCTCCCAAATGAAAAATAAGTTTCATTTTATGGCCTTCTATATCACTGCTTAATAAATAAAGTGCAGTGTTACTGGGAAATTTTCAAACAGGCTTTCCCTTTTCAATCACTATTTGGCTAGTTTGGCCGGACCAAGGACATAGTACGCAAAATTTACTTTCGAATATTATCTAAACTTTGGTTTTAAAATTCAACCAGTCGACCGAATTTTTTTTTTTTTGCAAGTC